GAGATGTGTATAAGAGACAGATATATATATATATATATATAAACTTACGCTTATAAATTCTCCTTCACATGTACGCCAAGATTTCCTTGTATAAATCGCGTTAAATAATTAGAGAATATACATTGGTGTTTTTAATTGTACTGTTTAAACAATATATTATATATAATAAGAAAATAATCAGCTCACATATGTTTCATATTTGATTAAACAGAAGATTACATTCTGATCAATCTTTATAGAGTATGATTCGTGTACATCACAATCGGTCTTTCTGCATTCAAAAAATTGTGCACCTGATCTGGACATTCTGTACGTCATTTTTCTTATATCAGTGCGGCAAATAGGTACTTGCTTTTATAGCTATAAAGGATCTTTGCGGTCGTCCGCACCCGTTTATTCATCATACAGGCAGTAAAAATTACTATAGCGCCATTAAGATAAGAAAAGACAAAGACGTATTTCGAATTTTTTTTTACGTGTAGCGCGGTTCTCATTGCCGCCCGGATGTTATTGAATCGCTGGTTATTCATAAGGGAAGAAAATCGTGGTACCTCCTCCCCTGCGGCTACCAAAACAGAGCCGATAAGCTGAGTTTACGAGGGACGGATATAAAGCTAATATCATCAGGCTGCAGAATATTATCGTTTCACGCGAATCTTAATGCCGCTCGCACGCGTTACCCCGCGTGCTTCTGAATTTGATGTATACGTGTATTACCCGATTATGTGGTATTGCTCGTATTTGCGCGCCTTGGAACGAAAGCGATTTCAATGTTTGAACTATGCGCGGATATTAATTCATATTATACATACCTTCCGTTTGCTCTGAATCTTTTCGAGCTGTTGGGCCGTTGCCTCTCCGATACTCTGCGAGCCCCACAAGTTCAGACCGACCCTGGTGTAGGTGCACGTCATAAATATGATTGGCAAAAAATACGTTAATATCATGGACATAACGTTGTACCTGAAAATTAATTAAACTCCCACTCACTGCAAAAATAAATTTATAGCGGCGTAATATCGAGAAATATCTAGTCTACAAGGCAAATTGCAAGCTTTCTTCTAGCACTCTTTGACTAAACTAAACCTTTCCCCTCGGCTAGAGATTATTAAGTTGACATAAAAAATTAAAGCCTCTGTGCTTTAAGAGTTTTAAGAAGAAACATAAACAGACAGGAAAGATCTTATTTTTCCACTTAATTTCTTTAGCACTTTTCTTTAGCAGAAATGTAATTTACGCTTTAATTACATTACAGTCTTTTAAAATCTTTCTAAAATCGGAAATTACAAACAGAAATCCAAACAAAAGGAAAGTAGATTGCGCGCAGATTTTCGTTAAAACGTCGATTTTAGAATTACAATTGAGAACGAATAATTCGTTAATAAATCCATTAATAAATTATAAAATTTATTCGCGAATATAAGTATATTTCACAATTGCGCGAACATACGACCTAATTTATGGTTTAGACAAATCAAATTTGCTAGAGCCAAGCTATTTTACGAAGTCATAGGTGTTACGCCCGTGTGCGGCACTTTCGACATAAATTTACTTTCGGATGGTGATGATTGATTATAGATTATAGGGAAATAAATTTTCCTGAAAGAGGCAGGCGAATGCAAATAGAAGATATATAGAAATGTATATATAATAAATGGATACATGGAAATGGATGTATGGATACTTGAAAATAAATTTTGCCAATATGTATTGATTATTGAAACGGTTTGACTTACAAATTTTCATAGTAACTGTGTTCATTGTTGGTTTTGCCCGGCCAAATACTGGAGCAGACGTTGCGGACCCCGTTCCTGAACTTCACCGCGTCAGAGCTGCGGTAAAATAGCATCGGTAAAGATAGAATTATTCCGATGATCCAAATGACGATTGCAACGCATAACGTCATCTTTTTCCCCCTCCGTGGTTTCAGCGGATAGATGATGGCCATGTACCTAAAACAAACACATTAATAATAATCTTGATTCGACAGATAAAGAATTTGGTAAAAACGATTTAATTAAAACAATTATTATTCTTAATTATATGAATTAAATCAATCTGATTGACAAAATGAAAAATTAATAAAAAAATAAGATGTGATTAGTGTAAAATATTTTATTTTAAAAATTTCTTTTAAAAAACTGTTATTATACGTAAAGAACAAGATTGCTATGGATACGAAACCAACAATCCACTTAGAATGCGGAAATATGTTATTACTTTTTATTAAAATAGAATTACACGCCGAGAGTTGCAAACGTGGAGCGTCTACGATGTCGGAATTTTCAGACAACGTAAATTTCATGATAAAGTCTCCGGATGATAAGGAGTGATGACAGGCTGCACCGTGGGATACTAGATCGGGCAGCGTCAACTTTTTTTCCCTGAGACGAGACGAGAGCGGAGAGCGTGCGGGAGTAAAAATGTCTCAAACGAAGAAGATACGAAGGGGACGCAACGAGACCGAACGATATGTCACAGTCGCAATAAAAGTGAATAGTGAAATCGTGTTTGCGAAACTGATGCACCGCCGGTATAGTATATATATAGTACATATATGTATATAGTAATAGTACTAATAGTATATATACTATTAGTACTAGTAACCTTTGGCGGCTTTTAGAGCTCCAGCTATCCGACGGTGCATCAGTTTCGCAAACACGATTTACCGATAATTCGATCAAGTCGCAAATAAAGAAGTTGAGATTTGTTGAACTATGTAATTCTTGGCTGACCTTCGACGTCAGATTGATCTCCGTCGTTAGCCTGAGACCCGCTTCCGTTAACTCTCCTTAACGCGACGTCACTTAAGGACGCTGTACCTACTTCAACGCACGCCGGGACTGCTCCAGATAAACAGGAGGAAATGTATTTTCTCAGGACCGGACATCGATCTAAGTGAGGTTTTAGTACGGGCGTTAAAAGCGAGAACGTGCTCAAGCGTGGGGAAGAAAGGTACAGAGTCGCGCGCACGAGAATTAGGCGAGTCTCCACCACTATCTTCGGGATTATCGATTGTTTGATATATCTGAGGATCATGGCAATGATTCACGCTTAGGCAGGACGATTAGCGCATCGACGAATATATTTCTCGTTCTTGATAACATCACGTCTCACACAATAGCAGGGAGGGGAGAAACCTATATATAAGCGATATTGTTCTAATACTTCTAATATTGACTGTCGTAACTTAGGACACCGTATTACCTTTCGCAATTCACTCTCAAGAGTGTATTATTCCAAACAAACAAATAAAAAAAGAGAGAAGAAGAACGAAAAGAGATTCTTACCGATCGATGGATATCGCCATTAAAGTGAAGACGCTGACGAATATCGTGAGTACCGCGATGAACTCGGAGATCTTGCAGTAAAACGTGCCCGCGAACAGCCATTCAAAGTCGAACATGTAGATGTAACCGAAGCTGACGTTCATGGACGACATCATGGCGTCCGCGATGCTGAGGTTCACCAGGAAGTAGTTGGTGATGGTGCGCATTTGCCTGTGCGCCAGCACGATCCATATAACTATCAGATTCCCGCTGGTCGCCACGATGATTATGCCGGCGAACAGGATCGTCCAGATTATCCGCTGCCACCACGGAAACAGGGATTCATTCGGCGGCAACAGAATCGTGTTGTTGGTGTCATAGTCGGTGTTGTTGCTGTACGCAACGTCCACAGCGTCCACAACGTACCACAACGTCCTTGTTACGTTCCAGAATTGAGACGTGGAATTGTACGTCGTCAGGTTGTCAAGATTCTGCATCGTAAATATCGCGATCTCTCTGATCTGTTGACTTTACGTTGAGCTTACAGACGCGCGTAGGATCATCGCCGTTTTCACCCTCGCATTCCACCACCGTATTCAAACCGCCTCCGCACGCCGTTCCCATTGCAATTTTGCGTCTCACGGTCTGTCTTTCTTATCTCGCCTTAAAATTGCGCGCTGAGCTTTTCGCCTGGAGCATGCAATCTTCACTCATTTAAGGTCCCGTTATTCGCTATTCCCTTTTTCTCTCCGAGATGCGCCACGGGAGAGCTTTTGATAATAATAATCTCTATAACACAATTATGACATCATCGCAAAGGAATACATCGATAATTCATCGGGTGCACATCCGCAATAATTCATCTTTTTCAAAAGCGAGGCGGATATGATTGTCTGACGGAAATAATTGCAAAATCTCGGCTCTCTTACAGGTTGCTGTCTTATGACAAACGGAGCGGAACTTTTTTCCTCTTTTTTTGAGGCGAAACAAGCTCGCGAATTTCAGAGGCGGCACTCATCTACCCCATGGTGTAAAGAATCCCCTCGCTCAAAATTCCGCATTCATTCGAAGCCCCCCCCCCCCTTGCGACGTCTTCTTACGTTGACGAATTCCTCCACCGTGGTCCCATCTCTCGATCTGAAAAATACATTATGGAATCGAGATTATTCGAATGAAATGCTATCCACTTGCGCGAAAATGCGAGGGCATGAATTATCGCGCGTTTCTCCCGCGCTGCGCCGCGCGGAAACCTTCCGGTCTGCAAGTGGGTGAAAAGCTCGGGAAATGTGAATGTACGACGGATGAAATCCGTGAAATTTTATCTGTCTCATTCGGAATGGGCGACAAAAAAGGAGGTATGACCCGAGAGGGGCCACAAGTTCGCAGAAGGGCGCGAAAGAACAAACGTACTGATTACAAACGTGCCGATTGCCGTTGAATTTCCCAAAGGAATATAATTATAAAACCGGACCGTGTGGTACACCTCGACGATCGTCTCGATTAAGATGTCCGGGAGGTTTGCGTTTCGCGTGTATACATTCAGATAATTGTTCGAACACGATTAATATTTTCCTTTCCCTCCTAATCGTGTTAAAGCTGTAATCGATCGCGTCCGCTGAATAAAATTATCTACGATATAGCTAGAAAATAATCGTCCGGCGGAAAGATTGTTTTGTGTTGGATAACTCTTCTCGTAAAGCAATACTTATTCATAACAATTATCGTGCCATTTTGATTTGATATCGCTATTCTACCTCCACGCGCATATCGCCCATCGCAACGTCCATTTAATTTTCCTTTGTCTAACCGATGGGATATCATTTGCTTAATTGCGCGGCAGAACCGTGTTATTTTTTTCACTAATATACGATAAGCTCTTTGCATAACACGAGATATTACCGGGCACGAAAAATAGAAACAGCGCCATTTGCTTCTTCTTGACGAGATAATAAAGCGCCGCGAGATAACGTGCAATAATGGACAAACGTGCGCGAAAGAATCCCGAGGCCAACGTGAAAATGAAACGTCCGACGGCGACGCTGGCATTAAGGCAGAGAGAAAAATGCAGCCGCGAAAAACGAGTGGAATTACCTCTAATATAGAAGTGCAGCGTGCAACGAGGGCAGTAAATGCTGGTATACGTTGCCGCGAAGTATATACTTATATGCAAATTGTGAATCACTCTGGATCGCGTAACTGGTTACAGAAAGAGCCTTTTGCTCTTTTTGCGCCGGAAGAGCCAATATTCTGCAATTGGACGACCAAGCGTATCCGCCGTTCGTGTGGAATCGACCGTTCAGAAAATACGATCCCATGGATTTAAGATCCGAGAAGGAGCTAGGGAGAGCTTTTATCTTGATCGTAATTTTTTTTCGGGTCCTTTTACTGCGAGATACTATTATTATTATACGGCTTTTATCAGATACACTGTTCTGAAATAATACACTTGACAATTGTAAAGTGACAATTTTAGATTGATAATCCCAGCTGATTAAAGTTTGGAACGTTCCTGGAGTGATTTTTTAATCGTAGCATTTTTTATTTTGTGTCTGGCATTTAGAAGTTACTTTGCGCAAAAGTAGAAATGGCCCAAATTATTTTTAGCGTAGTATTAGCTAGAATGTTCTCTCTCTCTCTCTCTCTCTCTCTCTCTCTCTCTCTCTCTCTCTCATATTGAAGGTGCCTATATTGAAGATCTCTATATTTGGTACATATCTTAATAAGTACACGGAGAGAATTTTTTTTTATTTACCCTGCAAATCATATTAATTGTGGGACAATATAGTATTTAGGAAAATTTTACTGTGCACTACAATAAATTTGACAGTAGTAAAAT